GGGTATGTGTGTGTGGGGAGGGTTGTTTTTGTATGTTCGAGTGTGTTTGAGTGTGTGTTTGTGTGGTTATGTATTTGTGTAAGAGTGTGAGCGTGCGTGAGAGACTGTGTGGACATACAATATGTATGTGTGTGTGTGTGTGTGTGTGTTTAAATGTGTGTGTGCGTATGCGTGCGTGCATGTATGTATATATGTGTGTGCGTGCGTGCGTGTGTGTGTGTGAGTGTGTGTGCATGCGTTTATTTGAATGTGTGTGCATGCATGCATGTATGTTTGTATGCATGTGTGTATTGGTGTGTGTGTGTGTGTGTGTGTGTGTGTGTGTGTGTGTGTGTGTGTGTGTGTGTGTGTGTGTGTGTGTGTGTGTGTGTGTGCGTGCGTGCGTGCGTGTGTTTGTGTGTGTGTGTTTATGTTTATGTAAGTGCGTGTGTGTCTGTGTATGTGTATATGTGTGTGCGTGTGTGTGTGTTTTGTGTGTGTGTGTGTGTGTGTGTGTGTGTGTGTGTATAAAAACCTTTAGACAATAAATACTAACTCAGTTGTAGACTCCTGCCATGTTTATTACAAAAACAACCAAATAGCCCTGATCTTACAGACGTAACACAGCTCTGCGCTCACTGTAAAACACACTCATTCACCTCTAATCCTAATCAAGCTTCTCTTGTTGTTGTTGTTGTATCTCACACACATTTTCTTTGATGCACATCTCAGACAATGAAACTGAAATTCATGTTTGACCGAATAATTTTCGATATGAAAAGACGAGGGGCTTCCCACTAGCTGCACACTGTGTGGAGTATGAGAAACGAGTGTCTGTCTGTCTATATATCTATATATTCACAGGTGACTCATTTGCTTTGGCTCTTTTGCTTTGGGTCCTTGAGGCTCGCTCTGAACTTTGTTTATGATTAATAAAGGATGGCAGCAGGCAGACACTGGTCAACATGTTTATTTATGATGATGCCAGTCTAAAGTTGTCTCCTTCCTCCAGCACAGGAAGTGGCTTCTGCAGTGTGTGTGTGTGTGATACTGACACATTATCAGTCAAACTCTGCACACATTTGTTGTTGTTGTTGATGGCGCGTTGTAATAACTGGATCTCTGATTGACTCAGAACATGCTGGAAGAGTGTGAAGGAGATTTTAAAAAGGTCTGAATGTTATTTTTTAGTGTTACTGCTGCAGAATTATATGGATATTAGCAGTTTTTTGTGTTTTGTGATCGTTTATTTATGATTTTGACTTAATCTTAAGACAGATCTTGAATTATTAATCTTGAATTGTTGTAAAGCATAACTTTTATTGTTATTTTTAATAGTTTGCAGTGTTAAATTGTGTGTGTTGGTGTTGTATATTACGCTACAGAAACCTTGTAATGAACTGCAGCACATTTTCTGCTACTCTACACACTTATTTCTCCATATGTTATTTCTTATGTGTTATATTATTTATTAAACAACTATAATGTCAATAAAAGTCACTTTGTTAAACTGTAGAGTTGAATTTCCAACATTAAAAGTCATTTAACATCTCATAGTGTGATTCATAAACATTAATAAAAGGAAAACAGTCGAATACTGAAACTGTTGATCAGTTGTTTACAGTGTGTCTCTGTTAAATCAGCATCATTTATCATGTTTATATCCTTGAATCAAATATTCTAGTTGGGATTTAATGATTGAAGCTTTAATCGTGGTTTCATCACACTGATCTAAGCTGCAAAAGCTATAATAACAAATAATAGTGTGTTATTTTATTTGTATATGCATGTTCAGAGTAGTTAAATTAGCAGTTTTCTATATTTTGTGATTCATGTTTGTATTTTTTCACCGTTTATTTGTGCTTTTGAATTGCATTATGGGATCTTAATCTGTCTTCTAACAACATTTAACCTAAAAAAGTTGTAAAAAAGTGACTTTTTTTCATATTTAATTGTCTGCAGTGCTATAATGTGTGTGTTGGTGTTGTATATTACGCTACAAACACCTTGTAATGAACTGCAGCACATTTTCTGCTATTCTACACATTTATTTCTCTATGTGTTACTGTCTAGTATATATTAGGGTATAATAAATGTCACTAAAAGTCACTTTGTTAAACTGTAGAGTTGAATTTTCAATATTAAAAGTCATTTAACATCTCATAGTGTGATTCATAAACATTAATAAATGAAAGACAGTCAACTACAGAAACTTCTCATCAGTTGTTTACAGTGTGTCTCTGTTAAATCTGCATCATTTATCATGTTTATATCCTTGAATCAAATATTCTAGTTGGGATTTAATGATCGAAGCTTTAATCGTGGTTTCATCACACTGATCTAAGCTGCAAAAGCTATAATAACAAATAATAGTGTGTTATTTTATTTGTATATGCATGTTCAGAGTAGTTAAATTAGCAGTTTTTTATATTTTGTGATTCATGTTTGTATTTTTTCCCCGTTTATTTGTGCTTTTGAACTGCATTATGGGATCTTAATCTGTCTTCTAACAACTTTTAACCTTAATAAGTTGTAAAAAAGTGACTTTTTTTCATTTTTAATAGTCTGCAGTGCTATAATGTGTGTGTTGGTGTTGTATATTACGCTGCAAACACCTTGTAATGAACTGCAGCACATTTTCTGCTATTCTACACATTTATTTCTCTATGTGTTACTGTATAGTATATATTAAGGTATAATAAATGTCACTAAAAGTCACTTTGTTAAACTGTAGAGTTGAATTTTCAATATTAAAAGTCATTTAACATCTCATAGTGTGATTCATAAACATTAATAAATGAAAGACAGTCAACTACAGAAACTTCTCATCAGTTGTTTACAGTGTGTCTCTGTTAAATCTGCATCATTTATCATGTTTATGATCCTTGAATCAAATATTCTAGTTGGGATTTAATGATTGAAGCTTTAATCGTGGTTTCATCACATTGATCTAAGCTGCAAAAGCTATAATAACAAATAATAGTGTGTTATTTTATTTGTATATGCATGTTCAGAGTAGTTAAATTAGCAGTTTTTTATATTTTGTGATTCATGTTTGTATTTTTTCCCCGTTTATTTGTGCTTTTGAACTGCATTATGGGATCTTAATCTGTCTTCTAACAACTTTTAACCTTAATAAGTTGTAAAAAAGTGACTTTTTTTCATTTTTAATAGTCTGCAGTGCTATAATGTGTGTGTTGGTGTTGTATATTACGCTGCAAACACCTTGTAATGAACTGCAGCACATTTTCTGCTATTCTACACATTTATTTCTCTATGTGTTACTGTATAGTATATATTAAGGTATAATAAATGTCACTAAAAGTCACTTTGTTAAACTGTAGAGTTGAATTTTCAATATTAAAAGTCATTTAACATCTCATAGTGTGATTCATAAACATTAATAAATGAAAGACAGTCAACTACAGAAACTTCTCATCAGTTGTTTACAGTGTGTCTCTGTTAAATCTGCATCATTTATCATGTTTATGATCCTTGAATCAAATATTCTAGTTGGGATTTAATGATTGAAGCTTTAATCGTGGTTTCATCACATTGATCTAAGCTGCAAAAGCTATAATAACAAATAATAGTGTGTTATTTTATTTGTATATGCATGTTCAGAGTAGTTAAATTAGCAGTTTTTTATATTTTGTGATTCATGTTTGTATTTTTTCACCGTTTATTTGTGCTTTTGAATTGCATTATGGGATCTTAATATTTCTTATGACAAAATTTAGCCTTAAAAATTGTAAAAAGTGACTTTTATTAACATTTTTAATAGTTTGCAGTGTTAAATTGTGTGTGTTGGTGTTGTATATTATGCTACAGATACCTTGTAATGAACTGCAGCACATTTTCTGCTACTCTACACACTTATTTCTCTATGTGTTATTTATTATGTGTTATAATATTTATTAAACTACTATAATGTCAATAAAAGTCCCTTTGTTAAACTGTAGAGTTGAATTTCCAACATTAAAAGTCGTTTAACATCTCATAATGCGATTCATAAACATTAATAAATGGAAAACAGTCGAATACTGAAACTTCTCATCAGTTTTTACAGTGTGTCTCTGTTTATTAAGTGTCATTTATCATGTTTATGATCCTTGAATGTTTATATAAACATCAGAAATGGAGACTCATCAGAGCAGCAACGTTTCTCCAATCTTCTATTGTCCAGTTTTGGTGAGTCTGTGTGAATTGTAGCCTCAGTTTCCTGTTCTTAGCTGACAGGAGCGGCACCCGGTGTGCTGTTCTGCTGCTGTAGCCCATCCGCCTCAAGGTTGGACGTGTTGTGTGTTCAGAGATGCTCTTCTGCAGAGCTCGGTTGTAACGAGTGCTTATTTGAGTTACTGTTGCCTTTCTATCAGCTGGAACCAGTCTGGCCATTCTCCTCTGACCATCATCAAGGCATTTGCGCCCACAGAACTGCCGCTCACTGGATATTTTCCTTCATTCTCTGTAAACCCTAGAGATGGTTAAGCGTGAAAATCCCAGTAGATCAGCAGTTTCTGAAATACTCAGAGCAGCCCGTCTGGCACCAACAACCAAGTTGTTCAAAGTCACTTAAATCCCCTTTCTTCCCCATTCTGATGCTCGCTTTGAACTGCAGCAGATCGTCTTGACCATGTCTACATGCCTAAATGTAAACTGTAGACGATAAATAGTGGTGCAAAAACAGGGAATGAGAGGAGGGTAGGGTGAGCTGTAGTAAACAGTTCTGAGGTTGAATAATAGATGTACCCAAGTTGTATACAATTAGATGTGCTTTGCATAACGTACAATGAAGTTTCATTGAATTTTTTTGAGCCAGTCCGTGTGTGCACATTTGGGGTCAGTGCATGTGTTGAGGATGGTAATGGTTGTCCTCGTTCTGATGCACCTGTAGCATCTTCCTGAGGGCAACAGGTCGAGCAGTTCAGACTGTTCATCACACACTCCTGCCTCAATGTTGCTTTAGTGTTTATTGGGTTTGGTCTGATATGTGAAATGTCTCGGATATTCTCTCTGTCCAGGTGACCCGTGTGAAGACTTGTTCCTCTGCAGATCTGGATAGACGGCCAGCATGGCGACAGATGTGGTGATCGTGAAGGAGGGATGGCTGCACAAGAGAGGTGTGTGTTCACTTTCACAATCAGAAAGAGCTTTATTGCCAATTAATTTGTCAGGGGTCACCAATCTCGGTCCTGGAGGGCCGGTGTCCCTGCAGGGTTTAGCTCCAACTTGCCTCAACACACCTGTCTGGATGTTTCAAGTATACCTAGTAAGAGCTTGATTAGCTTGTTCAGGTGTGTTTGATTAGGGTTGGAGCTAAAATCTGCAGGACACCGGCCCTCCAGGAACAAGTTTGGTGACCCCTGGTCTAAGTGATAGGAGCTTCCAGTACAGACAGTATGGTAATCTTGGAAAGAAACATCATGGTTTCACCGTATTGTGATTACTGCTCAAAATACATATGTTCTAGGTAAAAAAGTATAATAACTCTCTATTAAACACAATAGATTTTATTATAAGAAATATTTAATTTATTTTAGAGCAGTAAACATTTCAGGCTAAATAATCAAATGAATTCATTGACTTTTTTTCATGTTGCTGTGGAGGCTCCTTTTCAGCTGGAGATACTCTTGCCTTCATTCAATTTATTTTCTTTTCGGCTTACTCCCTTTATTAATAAGTGGTCATCACAGCAGAATGAACCACCAACTTATACAGCATATGTTTTACACAGCGGATGCCCTTCCAGCTGCAACCCATGACTGGGAAACATCTATACACACTCATTCACACACATACACTATGACCAATTTAGCTTACCCAATTTCAGTGGATTTGACATTTAAAACGTACAACAAAACGTACTCAGAGAAACATATTTTACACATCGCAGAAATCTAGACAGCGCCCTCTATTGGATTCGTCACCTGAAACTTATAACAAAATGTACCCTAAGTACAATATTTAAGATTCGCTGAAATGTAAACAGCGCCCTCTAGTGGATTTGACATTTGAAACGTGCAAAAAAACTTTTTTTACACTTCGCAGAAATGTTGACAGCACCCTCTAGTGGATTGGTCATTTAAAACTTATAACAAAACGCACCCAAGTAACGTATTTCAGATTCGCTGAAATGTAAACAGCGGCCTCCTGTCAATTTGTCATTTAAAGAGCCCATATTATGGGTTTTTGAAAATTCCCCTCCATGTAGTGTGTAACACAGCTCTAAGTGAAGTGAAGTATCCAGCTAAGGCTTAAATCTGTAAGAATACAGTGTTTAAAACTGTTGATTCATCTATAAAAGAGTCGATTCATAGTGCTTCAAACGAGTCGCCTTGATACCGACTCATTAGGTGTTTCGCCATGACGTACGAACGAAACAAAGTTTTTCACGTGCACGCGCAAACCCGGGAGATTTCAAACCTGAGGCCCCGCCCTCTGACGCAGTAACCCAGACACACACACACCCACAAACACACACACACACACACACACAAACATGCCGGTTGATTGTAGTCACACTGCAGATGGATATATTGAGTCTCTACCCAAAGATGAAACCTCAGCATTATAACCAAGCAGTTGGAAACTTCTGGAAGCTACATGCTACAAAGAATACTTCATCTGAGTTTGTTAAAGGAAGGATCAGTAAAGAGTAACTGATGGACGTGAGGATGGGTTTCTTCCTACATTTCTCAAGTGTAAGTACGTGCGGTTAAAGTTGTTGCCTCGTTGACTCTAGCTTGCAAATGTATTTAGTTGTGATTTGTTACTTGTAACCGCGTGTACTGTATCAGGTTAACTGGATATTTTATCTTATCGCATGCAAAGTCACGTTCAAAACGCGACGCGTGCTGTTTGTTTATGGAGCTCCGTGCTAGAGTTCTGCTCCCGCGATTTATTCGGAAATTTATTCCCGCGCCGCAGAAATCTGGCGCGGGGACAGCCGCGGGAATAAATTTCCGAATAAATCGCGGGAGCGGTCGGTAACGGGTTTAATTTGGGACGGGGGCGGGCTGTCTAGCAATATCACGGATATTGCTATGTGAATTAGAAAGAGAGAGTCTGCTTGGTATGAGAGAGCGTATGAGAGAGAGAGAGAGAGAGAGAGAGAGAGAGAGAGAGAGAGAGAGAGAGAGAGAGAGAGAGAGAGCGAGCGAACGAACGAACGAGCTTTGTGCTGTGTGTGTGTTTATACAGACAGCTTGGCTGTCTGGACTGTATACTGGGTGATATTTGGTTGTGTTCTCCGCTCTAGCGGGACCGGGCGCGGCGGGCAGAAAACGGAGCGGGTTCTCAGGCTAAAACCTAGCGGGTGCGGGCGGAAGCGGGAGCGTTGTCATCCGGAGGTGTGTGTGTGTTTTTGTGTGTGTGTGGTATGGCGAGTACACGACTGTCTCCTTCGTTCGGTTATCCGTGGCACTATCCACTCGCCATAGTGTGGCAGCTAAAATCCACGCCTACACTATCGAGCGTGTATGAACTGTGATTACTTTTTAAATTGCTGATTAGCTATTGGCCATTTCCCTCTCTGACTGAAGGCAGTCGACCAATCGCGACAGACTGTCATCGGTCCAATCAGCGCAGATTAGCTCCGCGCTAAGGAGGGGTTTGGAAACAAATGAATCACTGGACGATTCATACAGGAGTCGCTGGGATAATTAGGTAAAAATAAATGCAGATTATAAGACCATGAAAGTGTTTTTTGACCTTGCATGCATATTAGACTGTTGTTGGAGACTCTTACAACCAAGATATGACCCTATTTCATGTATAATATGGGCTCTTTAACTAAAACAAGTTCTTTTGAGTCATTTAACTCAAGTCCAAGTCAAGTCTCAAGTCATGACAGTCAAGTCTCAAGTCAAGTCAAGTCTGTTTTAGATATCTGTCAAGCAAGTCTCAAGTCCTAAATTTTGCGACTTAAGCAGGGCCTCATTGAGAATTCAGAGACTCCCGGGCACAATGTCTCGTAGGCCCCCTACCTAGCCGCACCCCTATAGTTGTATAATATTGGTTAAATAAAATGTATTAAAAAAAAAATTATTATTTAACATTTTACATCTATAATGTATTGCCCGCATTTTTTAAATAAATGCTATACAGTACATATATTTCTAGTCTACAAAGATTTAATTCATTTTTAAAGCATTTAAAGCACACTTTGGAGAAAAAATACTAATACAACTATTGAAAATGAATAGATTTAATATAGATTATTATTAATGATTCCTACTTGTCTTCCTTGTGATAAAGACTAGGCAAAACCTGATGTGTAATGGGGAAAAAAGAAAGATGAGTTCATCAGACGCTGGATTCGAACCGGGTTCATGATCGATCGCGTCAAAAGATGATGCCATGCGCCTTACGAGATACGTCACTCACACTGCAGTCTGCTGCGCTCTTTAGTTGTGTTGTCTCTGTCAATCAAACAGTGATGGGTGTGAATCGCTTAACTAGTTTATTCCAACGAGGTGTGCTATTTGCACTTAGCCTAAATTGACACTCTAAAACAGGGGTGTCAAACTCAATTCCTGGAGGGCCGAAGCCCTGCACAGTTTAGTTCCAACCCTGCTCCAACACACTTACCTGCAGGTTTCAAACAAGCCTGAAGGACTCAATTAACTTGATCAGGTGTGTTTAATTAGTGTTGGAACTAAACTGTGCAGAGCTGCGGCCCTTTTGGAACTGAGTTTGACACCTGTGCTCTAAAATCTGCATTTTTCCCCCCTGGGCCTGTTCCCATAATGCCCAATGAGTAATCCGGTCCTGGACTTAAGGCTGACTTAAGTCAAGTCATTTGACTCGAGTCCCCCATCTCTGGTTGTAAGGTTAATAACAAATGGCAATAATATTTGACTCTGTTGTGTTTCTAGTCCAAATATCTAAAAATTCTTAAATCAAGAATCCTTTTCTAGACAAATCAAAAATATAGTCTTGTTTTCAGAAATAACGAGTCAAAATGAAGTGAGTTATTCCTTGAAAAAAGCTAAATAATCTGCCAATAACAATCTTATTTCAAAGCAAAAGTATGGTTTATTTTGCTTTTTGGCAGATTATTAGCATTCATTTTGACTTATTATTTCTGAAAACAAGACAATTGTTTATTAGGGGTGTCACGATTTTGATTTTTAATCGAAATTTATCGAAATTTATGCTCAATTTCGATTATCGAATCAAAAAATAGAATCGTCGATGCTGCCACGCCCCCATGTCACGTCAGCTTGGCTTGCCAAGCGGGAAAAAAACAGGCTTGTTGAAGTGCTTGTTAAACTGCAGAAGCAGGAGACCCGTCGACAGAGCTTAAACCCTCTCCTCTTTCAATGAAGTCGCCGGTGTGGAAGTATTTTGGATTTCCAGTGAGTTATGTTGACAAATTTCGTGTTGTCGACAAAAAAAACACAGTTTTGCCAGCTCTGCTATGTACGTATTACGTACGGTTCGTCCGATAGACAACACCGGCATTGCGACCCTCCGCCCGCCCCCGTTGCAAATCCGCTCACGAAAAGTACACACTCAGACCCTGTTTACACTGTCTTTGTTTTTAAATGGCATTTTAGAACGACAACGATTTGACATCCACAGTGGCGTGTAGCATTTCTGAGCAGCCCTCCTTCCTCTCTACCTCTGAAAATGCACATCACGTGACCACACAGACACAGACACACACAGCCATGCGCTCGAGACAGCAGGTCCAGGCAGTCAGAGGACTGCTTCAATCTTTCACTCACTTGTACTTGGTAATTTTAGCGAACACCTCAGATACTGTTGGCTGGTTCTTGTTGGTTGTGCGTCTTTTTTCCCGACGCCATTATAACGACTCAGATCACTGCCTATTCACGAGTCCTGCAGAAAAAGTGATTGACAGGTGGTAATTATGTGTGTATCTTGCCTTTATTCATTTACTGTATGATTTGTTTATGGGTAAAACAAAGACCATGCAGGTCAGGTAGTTTAAACGGTAGGCTACAAATAATTAATTGGTCATTAATTAATTAATTATTCATAATCGAAAATCAAATCGAATCGTGCCTTTAGAATCGAAAATGTAATCGAATCGAGGATTTGGAGGATCGTGACACCCTTATTGTTTATGCTTGTCTAGAAAATGCTTCTTGAT